GCTGAACTGCTGTTTTACAAGTCTGTGTATGTTCGTGTTTGTCAGCAAACTGTAAAAGCAACCACATAAAAGATGTCAGTTCTGGAAACCTATACTTCTCCTGATTAGAAAAAAAGCTCTTAAAGGACAGAAGTAGTTTTTGGGTGAGAGGATCTTTATGCTCTGTCAGGGCCTGGTGGAGGTACGTGGTGTGGAGATGTTGTCGGGACTGATGCAGAGAGCATGTGTGAGGATGGGGGCCATCATGCATAGTCAGAGGGCTGTCATTTACTGGCTGGCATACAATAGCATTGAGAAACACTGCCTATGGTTGTTTTATACTTGCCTGTTAAACCACTGTAGGTGTCTGATTTAAGTTTATTCTAATTTAAACTGTTAGCCTTGCCGTAAACTACCATGCTTATTAATCCACTTTTTTTTTGGAGAGAGAGAGGGGGATTTCTTAAAAGATTTTGTTAGCATTTTTACTAATTTTCCCTCTAAGACATTATTAATTTTTTTTCCTTCTATGACATTATGAAATTGATATACAAAGTTTTTTCTAGAATTCAGTTTGGTTTTCAGTTGAAAAGAAATTAGATATAGCAAGCTGCTGAATACTTTCTTGCTCAAACATACAACCCTCTTGTTAGTCCACATTAAAAAAAAATAAAAATTGTTTTGTCTGCAGCCTTTTCTGGATGTTAATGTTTGATTCTGGTCCTAGATGAGAGCTACAGAGCATATAGATGAGAGCAGATTCGGGCCCATCACAGTATTGCATTTAGTCTGAAATTGTATTGCTAAATTTCAGATGCAGCATATAAAAATTGTGAGAGGAAGGGAAGTGAATGAAACCCACTTGTTTTGTGTGTCCTGTGTGAGTGCTGGGAATGATTTTCCTGTGGTGTCTAAATCAGTAACAATTATGAAATCGTAAAAACTTAAAGTAAGAGCCAGAGCAAAGTTACCTACTAGTTTGAGTGTGTCCTGATTATGAATATTGTATGAGAGTAGCTGGACAGTAGTAGTTGTGAAATGCAGTTCTTACTTGGACAGGGCAACATTTGGAACTTGAGGCTGTCTTAAATCCAGCCTCTTCTTTTCTCCTTTACCATTTTATTAGACAGTTGCAAGTGATAATTCCACTTATATGGATTAATTAACTTGATAAATTTTTTGCAGCTACTCAGCAATGCAGAACTGCTAGGCTTGCCTTTTACTGCTCTGCTGCAAACCCTGGCTCAGAGGTCGGGGATGAAAAGGACTAGCAAATTCAGGAGCTTACAGTGCAAACCTGCACGTCTTAGTCCCCCAAAGAGCTTCTGAAGGCAAGTGACTGCGAAATAAAATCAGGTTTACATTTTGAAATGAATTGCAGTTACTTGCTTTTAGAAGTAGCATTGTATATAACAAAGCTGTCTTTTGGCTTTTTTAACAGTTTTTATGAAAAGATTGAAGTTTTTTAAAACATAGAGAAGGAAGAAGCTTCTCTCTGTCCTGTTCTGTAAATAAACATGGACATGCTGTAGATCTGTTATAAACTCAGCAACTTTTTAAAATACAGAGGCTTAGAATTGAGGTTTTCTGGTTTTCTTTTTTTTTTTTTCTGTAAAATAGAAACTTTATAAATGGCCTAGTGAGCTTCACATTGCTGGATTCTGTCTAAATATTTTGTTTTTAACTTCTAAGCTTATTATGCTGTCTTTGTGTTAACTCGTATTAAAATCTGTCAGCTATGACTGGTCTCATAACCACAGTCAGCGGACCAGAATAAGTTAATTATTTACTTGTGTCACTAGTGCTCTTCATCTAATGAAATGCACAGCTGTGTTAGATCTGCAGTTGGGTGTGTAGGTCCCATTGTTATACAAGTCAGCAGAGGGTAGAAGCCGCTATGATGGAGAGCCCTCAGTTCTTTCTGCTGTTCTGCCTTTCTGTGTCGATTTCATGGATCTTTTATCATTCACTTTCACACAAAACAAACAACACAGTGGCTGTCTGCTATGGGAACCGGCTTGGCATATAAAAGGTTTTCAGAACCTAAAGTAATTTTAAGTTAGCTAAGATTTAATTTTTGGCTTACAGGTGCTGTGAAGTCCAGATGCAACCTAATGCTTTCTTAGAAGTAAATGCCAATAAGGCAAAATGTGTGTGTAGTATATATATAAAATAGAGTATTTTTGTATACAATTTTAGGATAAAAAAGCTGTGTGCTCAAGAGATTGGGGTTTTGGGGGTTGGGTTTTTTTTTCATTTTCAGCAAATGATTGCTGCTTAGTAAGGAGGGGTAGAAGTATGTTATTGATTTATCATAATAGAACAATCAAAATTAGTTTCAATAGGTTTAAAAACTAAATACAACAACCCCCTCCCCTTGCCCCAGACACTCCAATCCTTTTTTTCTTCTGCTCCCTTCCCCCATACTTACCATTCTTATTCTTTTAACTACTGTCCCATACACCTATCCCTGTCTTGCTTGGACAGTGGAAGAGGAGCTCCCTCCTGAGCAGACGCCAATATCCCCCTGTGAACTGGCTGGTTGGGGGATGCCTTTTTGGGGATGTAACCAGCACCCCAGTCTTCCAGGAGCCCCCTCCATTTCAAGACTGTTCCCAGAGTGTGCTCTGGCAGTTGCAGCAGGCTGATCTCAAATAGCTTGCAGGCTTTTTCAGCTCTAGGGGCTTCTGGAAGAAATTGTCCAACTGAAACAGTAGCTTTGGACTTAAGCAGCTGCATTTTTTTGCACCTGAATTTGAATGTTAGATCTCTCAGTCATTTATAACTGCTGGATTCTGACTTGCAGAGTTCATTGTAGAAACAGTTGTAAGGGTTGGAAGGAAAATTCTGGGGTGCACGGTAGACTATTTTAAGTGAGTTTTCATGTTTCTGTTTAATCTTTCCTAACTAGTTTTAGTTTGAGGGGTTTTGTTTGGTTTATATCCAATACTGATGGAGACTGAAAAAAGCTTCTAAAACTTTTAAAGGTACAGGTTGTGTTCATGGACTGACAAAATATAAGCAGTCTTGATTGTACTTTGTATTTAATAGAAAGCAGTCTTTGCTCAGTAAATGAATGTTACCTGAAAAAAATTTGGGTTGGGTTTTTTGGGGGGTTTTTTTGTTGTTGTTTTGGGGTTTTTTTATTTTCCCCTACTTATCTCCTTTCAGTTCTTGTAAAATTTCTGACTTGATTTGTTTTTATTCACGGTATTTAGGAAAGATACATATGATAAACAAATTTCTAATCCATAATAATTTTGTATGTCCAAAGAGATATTGTAAGAGACCTTATTTCTTCACTTTTTGCATGAAATTATAGCATCAACTTTAAAACTAGATCGCACTTGAGATATTCCAGTCTGGCTGGTCAGAAGTTTCTGGTTGCCTCTGAAAACTGTATCTAAAGCTTTCTTCCCTAATTTGCTAACTCACAAATCACTGTGGAGCATTATGTAAGGGTATGCTAATTTTGCCGGTCCTGTCACAAGGGTTGTCTTCTATCCTACAGGTTGTGAGCACTGGTCATGGTAATGAATCTGGATAAAAAGTGATCCATGAGAAAGAGAGGAGGAGGAAAACACTAAAGAAAATCTGGTGATGAGCGTCAGCCCTGCTGGTGGTTTGCTGTTTGTGAATTGAAATGTTTTCTCTTCTGCAGGGGTGTGTGGACTGATTGTTCCTCAGGAGGACATGCCATTTTGTGATACAGGAATCTGTCCAGATATCATAATGAACCCTCATGGCTTCCCATCGCGTATGACGGTTAGTGGTTATGTTATGACTAAAGAGACAGTGTCCCCCAATAGGGAAAGTGAAGTAGATTAGCTAGAAGAAACAAAAAAAAAGTTTGAAACACGGTTTCACTGAGAGTGTTCTCCAGTTGTCACGCCATACGCTTGCTCTCCTATAAGTATTCAGCCCTCTGTGTTGCATGTTTTGAAACATCCTAGTGTAAAAGGAATAGGGATGCGGGCTGTTTGTGCATCGTTCTCATTTTGTTCTGTATCAAGCTGATAGGAATGCAACTGAATACCTCACTTGCACCCTTTCTGTTTGAAAATTTCTTGCTCTCCCTCTTCCTTCCCTGTTGCCTGTGCCCACTAAGCTGGCTGGGGCAGACTGTGAGGTGAAGGTTGGAGAGGAGTTTCAATGGTAGTTTTAGACCTGTGTAACTTTGTAAATTACACACGCCTCCCTGGAACTGATACAAGTCTTGCACCTGTGCTGCAGGGTCACACTAAATACATCACAGCCTGGCCTTTATATGGGACATTCACTGATTACTTTGTACAGCCTCCGATCTTTTTTCCTTTGTTAGCTTCTTCCCTTCTGTTTCCCTCTATGAACTGTAGTGTGTCAATCTCTGAGGCTGTTTTCTAGGGCAGAAGGCCACACTGGATCCTGCTTATTTTCCAGACAGCTGGGAAAAATGGAGCTGCCTGACTCTGGACCTTAAAGGTGTTCCCAGACCCTGTGATGAGTCTGGTTTTTCCCCATTCACATAGGGAGTGTGAACAGGAAGAAGCTTCCTTGTTCGTAGGCTTCTTCCTCTCCTCCCATTGCATGCAATAACCCAGGCTGCTGTCTCAGACACCTTGCCTGGCTAATTTGCACTGTGACCAATTCAGCAATGTGCCCGGTGAGCAGGCTGTTAATTCTGCTTTTCTTTGCACAGGTAGGAAAGTTAATTGAACTCCTTGCTGGAAAGGCTGGGGTCCTCGACGGCAGATTTCACTATGGAACAGCTTTTGGAGGCAGTAAAGTTAAGGATGTGTGTGAAGATCTTATTCGCCATGGTTATAACTACCTGGGGAAGGACTACGTAACATCTGGTATCACTGGGTAAGAATCTGCTGTGTAGATTTACACATGTCAAGGGAGTGAGGAAATCCTGTTGAGACACATCTGAAAACTCTTCTCAGGTCTCAGAGCTCAGGAACTTTCTTTTATTTGCAGACTGCTCTGTGAGATGCAGGGAAGGGGCTGAAGAATGGTGCACTTCTTTTTTCTCTTTTTTTTTTCTTTTTTCTAAGTCTTTTGTGGTTCCACATTTTAAGAATTACTAGTATTTGCATGGCTGTAATGTGAATGGCCCTTGTAGTACATATGAAAATTTCCCAACTTCTACTGCATGACAAAAAAGGTAAAATCAAGGTTTTCTTTCTGAGAGATTGTAAGAAATTTCAAGTCTCTGGCAGCAACTCTTACATATGCTTGGAATCAGATAAGCATTTTCATATTGACTTTAATTATACTGCAAAACATGGATTTGGCAGGTGTCTGTTCCTTGGGAATATTTTGTTTGTGCTCTTTTTTCTTTTTTCTTTTTTTTTTTTCTTTTGATTACACAATGATTCAGTCTGGAATAATACTCTAATCTGCAAACTTCCTGCTGTGTTGTTCGGACTTGGCTTCTGAGACACAGAGTTCAAAGAACGTAAGATAGTTTAGAAACAGGAAAAGGCCATATGGCTCCACATGCCAGCCCTTCCAAAATGTATCTTAATCCTACCTTCCTGCTATTTTTATTATCCTCCCAGTCCCCTTGTTCTCAAGAAACAAGTTTAGGTCTCTCTTGTAAGTTGTTTTTTTTTTTTTTAAGTGCTTTTTAGTTTGCTTTTCCTACCAACTTGTGCCCTATGTTGTTTCTCATTTTGTTTCAAAGAGATGATTTTGTTTTCCTTACCCACTCCATATTCCATAATTTGTATATCAAGTATCCTGGTGTTTGAAACACTTTCTATTGATACACTGTCATAACTTTTAGCAAATATGACTAATCTTGTTTCCTAGAGAGAATGAAATCACCTAGCTCTAAAAATCCTCTGTCCCCAAACTTCAGATTTGTAGTACCCTATTTAGAGACAGATACAGATATTCTTCCAAGAACATTTCACATGCTCAATATTTCTTATGAAATTTGAAAGCAGATTTCATAACAATGTGGAAGTTTTCAAATTCCAAATGACTAATTAAGTTTTATTGTTTTCTTCAATAGGCAGCTTTTGGAATAACACTGCATCATGTCAGTAATGGCTCTGAGTGGGAGGTACAATACTGTTTTCTCCTGCTTATTTTTACATCGCACATACTTTTTTTAAAAAAATAAATTAGTGACAGTGCTGAGTTTGTCTACATACTTTTTTAAAAAAATAAATCAGGGGCAGTGCTGAGTTTGTCTATGTTAAATCTGGTCATTCTCAGTGCTGACGGTGGTAGCTGGGAAATGACTGAGTGCTTTCAACTGTTGCTTTCTCATCTTCAGGCGCTTATGCTGTTCTTACAGTTGGACGTGTTTTAAACACACAAATCTTTAGCCATTGCTCCAGCTCACAGGATGGAGCAACGCCCTCCGTACTGCTTACAGATGTTCCCAAGCTGAGCAAGTGTGTAAACACACATCTCTAGAGCCCTTTTACCCCACTGAGATGAGCCTCCAGTGCCAGCCTGGGCAGCGATTTCTGTCCTGTGGGTATAGGTGCTGAGCAGTGCTGCAGGGGCCCTGCGCTGATGCACAGCCACTGAGGGAGGGCTTTCACCCGTCTCAGCCTTGTGTTGTCCTTCAAAGTGGTGCACAGGGAGAATTAATGGATGGGAAGACCATCAAGCCCATAGCGTCCAGTGCCAAGCTAACTTTGCAGACGCAAATTCCTTAAAGTGCCCCTATAAAAATGATGTTTTGAGCGTTCATGCTGCATGTATTTGTTTACATGTATGCTTACCTCTGTGTGTGGATGATGTAAAGTGAAGGAACCTAAATAGAAATATCTTAAGTCGCTCTTCAGGATCTGACACATTTACAGTCTTTATCAGTTGCTGATGACACTATTGAAGCACTGCTGCGCAGACAGAGGAGGGACTTAACATGGTACAGCTGAAATGGGTACCTGCAGCTGTAGCAGCATGTCTGCACAACGTGTGGCCAGAGTTCAGGATCTTGTTCCTCACTAGGGTGGATACGGCAGTATGTGGTGCTGGAAGTGTACTGCTCTTGTGTTCAGAAGGGTTCCCTGTGGGGTTTTCAGACTGATTGCCCTGAAAGCTCAAACACATTTTCAGGAATCTCAAATTGTTTCAGATTCCTCCTGTACACGACACTCTTGTCTCTCTTAAAGTAAATATCTGCTAACTGTGAATATTGCTTTTGTTTTGTTTCTTTTTTTATTCCTTCAGAGAGCCTTTGGAAGCATATATCTATTTTGGCCCTGTGTATTACCAGAAACTAAAGCACATGGTGTTGGATAAAATGCATGCAAGAGCTCGAGGACCCAGAGCAGTGCTCACCAGGTATTGTTACAGGCGAAGCACTAAATTCTTAGTGTACATTCAGGAGTGTGCCTAGTTGACTGACAGGTATAAAACAAAGTTTGTTTCCCTTTTGATACTTGACACCAAATGCTATTACCTGTTAATGCACTGTTACAGACTCACAGTGGGATATGACAGGAAGTTGTTCTGAATGTCCAGGAGTGCTCTGTGTGGTCCAGAACTAAGTTTGCTTCTCAGACTTCTATTAGCAGTGGGTAAAAATGCCATCTGCTGATTCACAGTGCATGCTACCCCTTTCCTGTCAGATTGCTCAGGGATTTTAGGAGGATTTTTTTTTTTTCTTTAACATTTTTACTTCTACAAAATTGAGTGTGAGTAGAAGGAAGATATTCCTTTTAATACTTCAGTATTTTTGGTATTCAGCAGGTTAATATTGATGTGGCCCATGTCTTCACCTGTCAAGGCAAAGCAAGCGCATTGGCCCTAGTATAGTGCAAGCAAGCATTAGAATAATGTGCATCCCTGGTATACTGCTCTTTGCCTCGCAGATTCTTCCAACTCTAAAACTGAACTTATGGTTGTAGGTACTGGTACACAGTTATCATTCAGTATCGTGCAGGAGAGTAGCACTTTCGCACTAATAAATTGCTAACTTTACAGAGACACCAACAATAAATCTCCATTTGCCCAGTTAAAGATATGTCCTTAGTTCCTTTGGAGTAATGATCATTGCACTAAGTCTGAACTTGGTTTTCTCTCCAACAAAAAGGTTGATTACCATGTTGGCGTCTTCTGGTGTCAAATTTTGAAGTCAAGCAGGTGTACTCCGAGTAATAGGCAATATAAGCCCCTGGAGGTGGGCTTATATTATCCAGACCTTTGGAGAATTTGAAGCATCCTGCTTTCACTGATATTCCTTACCTTTTCTCCTTAAAGCTAAGCTCTATGACTGCTTGCACTCATGTTCTAAATTGCTGATATTCCTGGCTCACAAGAAACAGTTAAGTGGCACAGGTTTTGCTTTGAGGAGGCTTCTAGCAGGTCATTTAGTTCACCTTTCTATCACAGTAGGATTATTTGCTAAATCTTGCCAGGAAGTTAATTACCAGCTAGTCTTGAATATTCTTGAATAGTCTTGAATAGCAAAGATTATTCTAAATTTCCTTTGCCAGTGTTTCTGGACTGTCCTATACACCATTTATGCCTCACCTGCTGCGTGGTGGTACTCTTCTTTTTCACCACTCCCTTTTGTACTGTTTTTGAGATGTAAGCACAAAGTCATGTCCATCCTGCCATTACTCTTACCTGTAACAAACATGATTCATATTCTTTAATTCTTAATTTATTTGTATGCTTCTTACCACATGCTGATCCACTTCTCTTGCCTTGTCTGCCTGCACTATGAGTTAGCAAGTCTGTCCTCTTAATAGTTGCACCTTCCACATGTAGATGTGCTGTTAGAGAATGGAGGGGCAGGTCTCACTGTACCTGGTTTGGAAGTATCTTTCTCTCGCTTTTCATTTCATATCTCCTATGCCTTTTGACTTTCCAACCCTATGCTGTCTCTAGGACAAATTGAAGTTGTTTCTCACTTTCCATGGAAGTAAATACGAGTGATTAAACTGGGAGAGAAATCATGTAAAGTTTTTTGTAATTCTTGTCTGAACTTCTCGCCTAGCCACATTAAGAAGAGCAAGTGTAGCACAGCCATAATTTCCTACCACAGCTACTTGCCAATGTGAACGTAAGTGGTACTCCCAAATAATGGACTGTCTGCCCCATTTTCTGTTCTTCAGTGTCTTAGTCATGGTATTGGTCACATGAAAATGAAAACTTGCTGGCTTAGCTATCAGTGCACACTGTTGCTTTGCTGGACCTCCTCCTAGCTTACCCAAATCCCTTGATCTGCTTTTGTTTTGTTTCCCCAACTTCTCAGCTGTTTAGAGATATTGAATTTAAATGAAACCTAAATCCCAAGTCAAGGTAATGTTTACATGTAAAGATGAAGGTGGTGTGATTTCCCTCACCCCTTACTTTCTTTGAATTCTTTGTTCAAGTCAGTAGCATCATACTATGTAGCTAGGGTTCTTTATTTGACTTTCAGGAAAGCTAGTGGATGTTCAATTTATGCTGCCTCTTGACTAGTCTTTTAGGAATTTTCTTTTCTTCTCAACTAATTAAACTTTTGTTACTGCCATCGCCTCTGCTGAGAGTCTGTTTTGCCAGCTTTCATGCTCACTATTGTTTTATCATCCATTGCACTTCCTGAAGAGTAGATTTCCTCTAACATTGTTTTTTGCTTTTAAAAGTAATTCTGTAACAGCTTTGAACATGGAATTTGGCTGTTGTTGTCTTAAAATGCATTTTATTATATATCAAATGTACCTTAACTGACAGAGCAAAGCTGTATTTCCATCCGGAATAAGGCAGAAGACTTGAGTTCCTTGAATGTCAGTGATTCTAGATATTGTTCCAATTAAAACAAGACTTTTTAGAGCTGCAAACAGCACTCTTCATCAACACAGTCAAAAACCACCAGGATGTTGCCCTCTAAATTGGTATTTGTTACATAAAATACAATACTTAATTTATTTTGCCATGTGTAGTTGGCAATTAATTTAAAACGTAGTTCTGTATATGGTGTTGCCTAGATATCCAGTCCTGCTAAATCTTTTTAATAGATCAACTGCTTTTAGTTTTCCTTACAAGAGATCAATATAAGCTTTCTGCATGCATAGTTGTTTTGATGGACATTGTCAGACCTGCCACCTGTGTGTCTTTCAAACTTACAAGATATGCCAGTTTCTATTACAATGCGAGGTGGTAATGTGGTGACACTGGTCAGGGCTCCCCTCTGTGCCCTGGGGCTGTGGGAGCACAGTGCAACCTCCTCCTTCAGACAGTGTTTTTCTAGCTAATACTCCTCTTTTTCATGAGTGTTTCAGCCAACAAACTCCATTCCAAGTTATCCACTGGCTTTCTGTAACAGGCACAAGGGAGATCTGCTGAGACCTACAAGGCCTGCTCCTGTTTGTGGAGGTAGACTTATTTACCTGCACTGGCCAATGAAACAAGGAACAGGGACAAGAAAGCTGGGGAGGGACTTTTCATAAGGGCAGCTAATGACAAGACAAGGGGAAATGGGTTTAAACTGAAAGAGGGGAGGTTTAGATTAGATATTAGGAAGAAGTTTTTCACTGTGAGGGTGGTCAGACACTGGAACAGGTTGCCCAAGGAAGTTGTGGATGCCCCCTCCCTGGAAGTGTTTAAGGCCAGGCTGGATGAGGCTTTGAGCAACCTGGTCTAGTGGAAGGTGTCCCTGCTGATGGCAGGGGGGTTGGAACTAGATGATCTTTAAGGTCCCTTCCAATCCAAACCATTCTATGATTCTATGATTTTATGACATAAATTGAACCCACTGTTCTTCCAGAAAATGCAGTATTAGTGACAATAAATTCTTAATGTGCTTAAAGACACTCTAAGTTATTTGTTTTATGCTTTTCTAAATGCAGCAGTTAAATAGTATGAGGACCATTTGGCCATATTTTTTTTTTTTGTTTAAAGAATCACTGCATTTTATTTAGTACTTAAGAATTATAAGAACTTTCTATATTATTCTCTTAATATGAAAAATATCTATTTTTGATTATATTCCAAATCTTATTTTCAGGAGTCTGCCTTGTTTTCAGAGTGTTATATTTAGAATAAAGAATGGAAGTAGTTGCCCAGGGCAACAGCTGCAGTGTACGTGTATATAGAGGGAAAGGGGAAGCACAATTGCTTTATAAATACTGTTTTAACATTTTAAACAACCCTTGGTGTGAGGAATTTTCAAACTCACAGGAGCCAAAAGAAAAATCCAGTAGACTTTAGGGAGCATAAGATAGAGTCTTTTCAAAAGCCCAGTCTCAATATTGAAATTTTTGGTACTTTAGAAAACTACTTTTTTGGGAGGCAAGTTTTTGTTTGTTTTGTTTTTTTTTTAATGAGGTCATCTTGACATTCAGTGGGAGTGAAACACTTCAGAGCTTAAGACGCAAGTCAGGGTTTTTGGGTTTGGGGGACTTTGTGTTTTGGTTTTAATGGGATTTCAGCTGCCTTAGAAATCTTCATCCTGTATCTGCTGGAAGATCTGTGGCATATCAACTCTTAAAGGGCTGGAGTTGAGACACCATCATTTTTCAAGATGTTTTATCCTCCCTTACTTGGATTGAAACTTTGTTGGGGCTCAAATTTATGAAGCTGTTTTGGCATTTTATCCTGTGGCACAGCACCTAGTGAAACTTTTGAAAGTAGGCTTGTGCATTAACTAATATTACAGAAGTCAGTTGGTAAAAGGAACTCAGGCACTTCTAGCACTGCAGCAAATGCCTGTGTCTTTGGAGGCCCCAACTACTTTTTAAATATGCCTCTTGGGACTTCAGAAGAGGAACTGCATTCACCACAGGGTTAGTCCTTTAAAACAGCATCTGAACAGTGATGATGCCATCATCTGGGGAGGGGGCCCTAGGGAGTTTAATCAGGATGTAAACAACTTCTATCCATTCTCCCAACAGTGGGAATAATAGAAGGTTCTATGAATGAAAAGGACGATTTGAATTACAAGCAGATTAGTTTTAAGGTTACAGTGTGGTCAGAGTAAGGGAAACTACTTCCCCCTAAAAACAAATACAACTTGCATCTTTAGAAGATATTTTTGTCTGGTAATTAGGTATATTCTTTATACTTGTTAGAAAAGATTATTAGATGTTGAAGGCTTTTATGAATCTTTTTCTCTGAGTTGCAATACATTGGCAAAAAGTTATTTTTAATATACGTAGTATGCTTAACAAATTTGGTTGTTTGAAATAATATAAACAAAATATACTCCAAAAGGTATGGGCCAGATCTGTCATTGGGTATTCTAGGTGTCTTGCTTTGCTGCAGGTATCAGAAACAGCACATAAACATGGGGTTTCACGGAGCAGCAAAGCCTCTTATGATTGCCAGTTACATTTTTTTTATTCCTTCTCTTTGCTGTCACGCTTCAGGGAATATGCTGAGATTGAAGTATTTAATAAAATGCACACAATATATTAGTGCTTCACGAGTTTGAGATTGTTTTTGCTTCATAGTTTGCTCTAATATTTGCAACCTAAGTACTACTGCACTGTGCTAGTACATAACAGTAGAACTGATAGTGTATGAAACTGTAGTATGACAACCAAGACATCCAAAGTTTTGACTGTCCAACAACAACAAAAAAAGGCTTAAACAGTCATAATATTCTTAAATAATATATTGTACCTTGCCTTTTTACCTCAAAATCTTCAGCATATACTTAAATTGCTTTGTTAAAACTTTCCTCTAGCATCATGAGGACAGGAAGTCTTGCCAGACAAGAAATGAGAGTTTGAATTGTGGTGAGGAACTAGAGACCCAGGAACCTATACAATACAAAAATTAACTGTTAGTTGTCAGACATTAAAAAGATAAACTAAATAAGTGTTACTTTTTTTTAAAAAAAAGTAGGATTTTAAAAATCAGTTAGTAATACACGTACTACTTGTTAGCTGCTTTATTCTGGTGTTCTTTCCCAGATCAAAAATGGGTTTATCTTAAGAATTTAGTCTTACTTAGCTGTAGTTGAAACATTAGCTTGATGATTCATTCATTAGTTGATGAATATTGTTTCATTTAGTTAGCTACAAACTATAATGAATGTCTCCTCAAAAAAGAGTACTAAATCTGTCTCCAGATTGCCTTGGATATTGTTCAGTCTTTTTTTGTTTTCACTTATTCAACTACTTTCTGTGGGGTAAAGAGCTGTGGCTTAAAACTGCAGTTGTTACTCACAAAACTACATCATATTGCTAGTTCAGAAGCAAAGATTAGTTGCTTCAACTTGAGTAATACGTTTGTGAGATCAGCAACTTCGATTTGTAGAAAGCTTTTGTCCATTGATCCTGTATGTTCCTACAGTTTGAAGACAGACATTCCTAGAGTTGTAAAATGTATGTTCTGGAATACTTACTACATTTTTCAAATACTTATTTCCAAGGCAACCCACTGAAGGTCGATCCCGTGATGGTGGTTTGCGTCTTGGAGAGATGGAACGGGATTGTTTGATAGGTTATGGAGCCAGCATGCTTCTGTTGGAAAGACTGATGATTTCAAGCGATGCCTTTGAAGTGGATGTTTGTGGGCAGTGTGGCTTGCTGGGGTACTCTGGCTGGTAAGTTGTATAACTGTAAAGCTTTTTGTAAATCATGGTGTCCCCTCCTCACTTTGTGGGTGTGACGTTTCACGTGTGTTCATATTTTCAAAAAACCCCTTGACTTCAAGTGCATAAAGCAAAGTGGTACAGAGTAAACATGCCTCTCATGTAACAGAATCTTGCCCTCTGTTTTGAAGTGCTGACAGACAGGGTTAACAGTCCCAGACACTTCAGTCAAAAATAATGTCAACATTCAAAAATTATATTTGGAGAATAGGTGACAGGGACAGTTCTTTGTTAGGGTCTGATTGAACTTAGGACTAAAATGAGTGTATAATGAATGGCCCAGGGGTCTCTCCTGTTGTGAAGCACAGATATTCTCTTTCACAGCCATCTGTGCCAGTGGGAGAGGTTACCTTTGCTCTGTCTGCTGCCTCCCTTCCCACCCTTGCAGGGGATTGGCAAACCCCCGGTCTTGTATATCATCTATTTTTGAAAAAGAGAAACTAGCTGTGTCAATGTTCTTGATTCTTCTGACATCAGAAATGAGAATACTAGCTAGGCTAGTCACAGATCTTCCTGGTACTCTCACATGTTGAACCTCACAAAGCTGAAGAGAGGGAGTGGGCACAGAAGAGTGGGAGAAGAAAGCAACATCATCTGCTTGCTTGTTCTCTAGCTATGGAGTTCATTATCACGTGCATACCGCTTGCTTTGACCATGCCCCTCCCAACTGGCTTTTGCTTTGCAACCTTATAAAACAAACAAGGAGCTCCTCTTCAGAGCATCAGACAAATGCACAGATCCCATGTTGGAGCCTGAGAGACAAGCAGCTGCCTGGTTGGAAGTTCAGCTGACTTCTGACCAACTGCCTTATCCCTAAGAAACTTATCTCTAAACTAGCTAAAGGTCTTGCTGTCTTACCCTGGGTCCTAAGCCAGTACTGAGTTTATCTCCTGCAAACAAACTGGTTTTTCATGTAGGGGAAGCATAAAACTGGATGTCAAAACTCTGTGGAGCTCTCCATGTGTAATACTATGGGCTTTGCTCTTAACCATCTTTTCTCTACAGTAATTTTGAGATGCCCTGTAGTATGGTGGAAATACACCACTATTATTAGAAGATAGAGAAGCTTCTTTTTATGTTCTTCAGGGGTGAGGAAAATGTTTTGCTGTTGTCACCACTAAAAGTTGGTGATTTTTAGCTGGGCATTGTCCCACTGGCTCTTGTGAGTATTTTTGAGAGTCCTGTTTTCTTGAGTGTGTGTACACTGTATGTAACTAGTGAGGCCTTTTTCTGATCCAGGTCTCTTAAAACTACTGCAATGCAAATAATTGAAGGGAAGTTGCATGAAAGGAAGGACATGCCTTAAGTCAACCAACCAACCACTTCTGTATAAAGCACTGCCTTAAAAAAATCCACGTGCAGATGTAGCTCATGTATTTTTTTTATAAGACTTTAGCTTTCAGAACAGTCCTTGAAGATTTTCAGACCACAGGAAGTGAGGGCACCTTCGAGAAAATTAGGAATTTGAACTTTAAAAATAAAATGTAATACTATTTCTAAAGTATTAATATATTTTGAAGTTTGCAACGAAGTTTAGTAACTCTTTTTAAATAACTGTGAAAGAAACTACTCTCAGACAGAGCCAGACATTCTTGAAATCTGATTCTGTGAAAAGCTGTCTGATGCGTGAGAGTAATCAGTAAGAGGTAGCTTCTGCTAAATGATATGCTGTGTCTGCCAGTAGCTGAAGCAAGTGGCCCTATAATGAGCATCACAGTAGAGACCAAGTCATTAAGAGAAACTTCCAAACTGCCCTTTTCAGTGATTCTGACATTAATAAGACATTGCTGCAAGAAACCTTTTAGAAACATTGTTTGGTGGCCAGCATTAAGGGCACTTGTCAAAAGGAAGATGAGCCCTTCCTCCAAGACAAGGACTAGCCACTGGGTATATTTTTCTGCAAGATAGAAACAGCAGATCAGTGTTGGGGCCTCACCTGGTACTTTTGCAGGGGAAGGGGACTGTTGTGGCAGTGACAGAATTTGTGCCCGTAAGAAATTCAGTAGAAACTTACTGTGACATACTGGTTCTATGCAAATTTTCCAACTTTGCTGTTGTACAGGTGCTTGGGGCAGGACTGCACTGAATGCAATGAGCAGAATTTGGTCCTTTTTTTGATGATGAGATTATTCTGATCCCTAGAGTCTGAGTATTTTAAAATATACATAAAAAATAATTTTGTTACTGGTCCAGATTCGGTCTTGGCACAGTTGCCTTTTCCTGTCCGGTTTAGTATCAATTCTAGTATCAAATGTTCTTTCATATTATCATAGAATGGTTTGGGTTGGAAAGGACCTTTAAAGGTCATCTAGTCCAACCTCCCTGCAGTGAGCAGAGACATCTTCAACTAGAGGTTGCTCAGAGCCATGTCCAGCCTGTCTTGAATGTTGCCAGGGATGGGGCTTCTGCTACCTCTCTGGGCAACCTGTTCCAGTGTTTCACCACCCTCACTGTAAAAAAATTCTTCCTTATATCTAGTCTAAATCTGCCCTCTTTTAGTTTAAAACTATTGTCCCTTGTCCTATCACTACAGGCTCTGCTAAAAAGTTTGTCCTCATCTTACATATAGGCCCCTTTTAAGTCTTTCAGGCACTTAGATTTCTGTGATCTGTGTTCGACAGAGCTTTGTCCTTTGTGCTGACGGCACCTTAACCTTTCTGGGTGATCCCAGAAGTACAAAGCAGGCCCAGAATGTTGCAGCTTTGAGTCTGGGTATAGTGAGTAGTCTCTGCTCCGCCATCTCTAGTAGCTGTAATCAGATACCAGACATCTGCTTATAGCAGAAAAGTTGTGCCTCATCAGGCTTCTTCTGTTGAGAGCAATTGCTTGCTATTTTATCATCAGAAAATGGCTTCTGCTTGGGTCACTTCCTCTTACCACAAAAATGTACCTGTTGCTATAAATTCAGACTAGGGGAAAGGCATGCTAGCTGTAACATTGCCCCTGTGTAACAGTGTCTGCAGGAGAAGCCTGTTCCAGGAAACACCCAGTTCAGCCTATTACCTTACTGCCTGTAGTCAGATGTAGACAAAGACAAAGCAATAACTGGGAATAAGTGAAGCTTCATTCTTCATAATGAACTACAGAAATGTAATCAAGGCTTCTCTTACCATTGGTTGAAAGCTTTCTTGGTTTAAAAAAGAAAAAAGAAATACCCCAAGTATGGAGCATGTGAAGGTCAGGTCAACCACAGTTTTTTTGAAGAAAACACCAGCTCTTTGACATGCTCTTTAAGTATGTCTGTGAAAGAGGAGTAGCAGACCTAAAAAGTAACTGGAAGACTATTGTCAAGTGTCATAACCAAGAATCTTATTGGATTAAACCAACTTTATTGGACATGTCCCCATTGACTTCAACATGCTCTAGGTCAAATTTACTAACAGAAACAAGTGGCTAAGCATTGACTTTCTTGTAGATGTTGACAGGCTTGAGAGGTGGGCCCATGCAAGTCTCATGAAATTCAACAAGACCAAGTGCAAGATCCTGCACCTGGGTTGGGGCAATCCCAAGCACAAATACAGGCTGAGCAGAGAATGAATTGAGAGCAGCCCTAAGGAGAAGGACTTGGGAGTGCTGGTGGACAAGAAGCTCAGTGTGAGCCAGCAATGTGAGCTTGCAGCCCAGATGGCCAGCCATATTCTGAGCTGCATCAAAGGAAGTGTGGCCAGCAGGTCAAGGGAGGTGATTCTTCCCTTCTACTCCACTCTCTTGAGGCCTCACCTGGAGTCCTGTGTCTAGTTCTGGTGCCCTGAATGTAAGAAGGACATGGACCTACTGGAGCGAGTCCAGAGGAGGCCATGAGGATGATCCAAGGGCTGGAGCACCTCTCCTATGAGCACAGGCTGAGAGAGTTGGGGCTGTTCAGCCTGGAAAAGAGAAGGCTCCAGGGAGATCTTATAGCGGCCTTCCAATACCTGAAGGAGCTACAAGAAAGCTGGGGAGGGACTTTTTACAAGGGCAGTTAATGACAGAACAAGGGGCAATGGGTTTAAGCTGAAAGAGGGGAGGTTTAGATTAGATATTAGGAAGAAATTATTCACTGTGAGGGTGGTCAGACACTGGAACAGGTTGCCCAGAGAAGCTGTGGATGCCCCCTCCCTGGAAGTGTTTAAGGCCAGGCTGGATGAGGCTTTGAGCAACCTGGTCTAGTGGAAGGTGTCCCTGCTGACGGCAGGGGGGGTGGAACTAGATGATCTTTAAGATCCCTTCCAACTTGAACCATTCTATGATTCTATGACTCTCAGCCTCATTGTGTACCACAGAAGCATGTGGGAATTTTGCTAATTCTTCCCTAATTGGAACTTCTGACTGTCGTGACTTTATGCCAGAAATACAAATTTGAAACACAGAAGCAAAAAAAAAGAGCTTTGTTAGACCATTAGGGAAGTGCTGAGTTACTTTGTGTTCCCAAAGGCCTGGTTTTCTCTACTCTCCAGAACCGGAAGATGGAATATACAGGAAGGAGAGGAAATACAGAAGTGGGAAACTGATATTTATAAGAAAAATTTTTAATTTCCTTTGTGTGTACATGAAGTATGAAATTAAATAGTTTAAACAGTTGCTGCCACCACTGAATTTGAGTCCCAATACTGGAAATATGGCTGAGTGACCAGCCTATCCATTGCTGATATGGTCAAAGTTGTATCAATATGGCAAAAAAAATCTCCCTCCCTCAGAATTTTAAGATCATTATTTGAGTAAAGAGTGCAAAGAATATGCGTTAAAGCAGTTTTATTGGTTTTCCATCTTGACTCAGGCTTTGGCTGTTCATGCAGAGAGATGTAAGAGATGCTTCTTTCCTGAGTTAGGAGTGTGCACTGATTTGAGACATTATAGGTTGAAATTGTATATAAGGAAAAAAAATTAAGAGTGAACCGGCTTTCTTCCTGCATCTCTTTTGTAACATATATATAAGGCAGAAACTGGACCATTAACCATATTTTCAGAAATACTTGGCTTTGTTCACCTCCTTTCTCTCATTACACAATGCTGAATTTGTGTTGGCAGTTGAGTAGTGAAGAAGTAGAAGTCAGTCCTGTTAACTACTGAGCACTGTGATTCTCCTCCAAGAAAAGTGCAGGTTTAACATTAAGCTCCTTGTTGACTTCAGTCAGATTATTTAAGGGTTTAAGTTATGACTTGCTTAAGTGCTAAAATGTCTCTCAAGCACTTGGCTCCTTCTAGGATGGAGCCCAGTGTTTAAATGCAGGTAGACAAAGAAACCAGTGAATAGTGGTAACTGTTTTTTTTCTACACCAACTCTTGACTTTCTTTTTCTTTGTTTCCCCAGGTGCCACTATTGCAAGTCATCATGTCATGTGTCTTCTCTGCGCATACCTTATGCCTGTAAACTCTTATTCCAAGAACTGCAGTCAATGAACATCATACCTAGGCTAAAACTAGCAAAGTACAATGAATGAACAAGATGAAAAAAATGGCAAAAAGTACTTTACGGAAACTGAAATCCAGCATATATAACTGGAAGATTTTTTTGGTGAACAGGAATAACTCTAAAAGTTGAGTGGGTAGAAGGGAGGTGCAAGACAGTGTAAGAAATCTTTCTTACGTATCCTACCTGGTTTTAAGTTGTCAGGGGAGACTCTGTCAGTAGAATACACTGGAGCAGTTCTGAAAGCCTTGATGAGTTTGAGTGAACAGGACATGTGGGAATTGCAGAATAAGGCCATGATCCAGCAAAGTATTTGCATCACTTCAGACAACACCATGCTTGGTTTTGAAAAGTGCTTTGTTGGACAAGGGCTTGAGCTGAGCTAAATGCACATCTTACTCATAGAGGTTAAAAATGTTTTCCAGACTAGTGGACTATGAAAGACTAATAAATGTTTTAAATAATAATAATACTGCCTGAATATGTGTTGATGGTTGTGCAAGGATGGTGAAGCCTTCTTATTATGTCTAAGCCACTTTGCTATTCCTAAAGCATTTTGTTAAAGTGTTAAAATTTTGTTAAGTAGTATCAGGCTTAGAGAAATGAAACTACTTTCTTGAGAACCTGAAATCAGACATTTTGAGTAGGATTTCATTTTGCAAGTGATTTATCTGCAAGCGACGGTGTGATTATACAGTCAGTCTACTTTCAGCTAAAGATATGCAGTTTCCATGAAGTTCAAGGGAGTTAACTGCATATGCACCAAGTGCATGATGCAGCTTACAGATGTCCACTGAATTCCTACTGAGTATAGTAGATTTAATAATAAACTGGGCCAAAGCCCTGAAAAGATGGGCTGCAGACACTAGGTATGCTGTCCTAGGACTTTAGAACTTCTGTTTAAAAATGGGCATAGCTAAAACCTGTTTTACAAACAAAACAAAAAGAGAACTGTGAAGAACAACAAACCTTCCACTGACAGTGAAGCAGGTTTGAATGACCTGAAAGGCTTTAGAAAGGGAACAGATTAATTTTTTCATGAGATCAAAGGCCTAAAAGTAAAGCAGTGGATGAATGAAGAGTCACTTAGCACCCTAAACTCACTTGAGCCCTTACTCAGCAAAGCATATGGTTAACTTTTTAAGCAAAGGAGTACTCCTGCTGGAGTTGAGATGAAGCATGTGCATGTTCAGGTGCTTCAGAAAAAAGCAGCACACGAGATCAGTGAGGATATGGGGCCCAGCCTATGATCTGGAAGTCGTGAGATGCTCTTTGTCTCCTTGTATGGCCGGATGGTGCATGCCAATCCTGGCACTACTCTTGTAGTCATGTTGCTGCTGTTCTCTTAGCTGCCTAAGAAGCACAGATGAATATCAGCCTGAATAGGCATGCTTTTGAAGCTTCTGCCAAAATGCTTAAGCTAGTAGTTTTGAGTCTGAAGGGATGGATTTTACTTTTCTTCTTTTTTTTTTTTTCAATTGGACTAATGATAACAGAAATGTCAGCACAGCACATTTGGATTGGAAAAGCCCTTGAAGCACCTCTACCAGGATCTGACCAGCTCAGGGTTATTTACAAAGGGTTGTAACAGAGTGATGTACTGCTTCAAACTAGAGAAAGAGGTTAAGCGAAAGCCCCAGCGAAATTAACAACCTTTGCTTTGCTCCCCGAGATTGCCCGACTGAGGCTTGGGTGCACCAGCAGAGGGAGTGAGCCTCAAGGGCTGCAGCCTACTGGGAGAGAAGGTTTTGACTTGGATCAAGGAAACTACTCTGAGGGTAAGGTGTTCTTGCTAGCCAGCACTCTCTTAAACGGTCTGAGCTACAGGACATTAAAGACTTAGAAATATGTAGATTTACACCTGCGGAAATTTAAGCAGACACAGCAGAGATGAAGAGCAGGAGTGGAGGAGTGTACTCATGGGTTACCCTATTGAGAGAACGGGTCTATGTGCAACCCTGAGGAGTAGCCTTGCAGCTAGTTTACCTAAAGCTGATGAAAATGTGAGGATGAAAGGTTTTGTGAGGATGATGGGAATCCTCTGCAATAGCTGAAGTTTAGGAAGAAAGGGACAGCCTTAGCAATGATGAATCCCACAGAACATAGAAACAAGATGTGTCTGGCAGTAAATTAGGGTCACCCACTGTCAACTATTCTGGTGATACCTGCATCAGTTCCATTTATACATTGTTGCCTGTGCATACACCAGAGGCTTATTTGAGTCAAAACTCTTGATTTTTATTTTTTGCCTCTCTTTAAGAGGCTACCTATGTTCCATCATAATAGACACCTGCAAGTAATCTCTTGGCAATGGAATAAGCATTACAAAACCAGCAGCAAACGGAGCAAACAGCTATGGATTCGTGGAATACACTTGGTCAACGTGGCAACTCAAGCCATGAATCCTGCCGCAGCCAGGAAAAATTATGATGCATGGGCTGATGAGGTAAAAGGAACCCCAGAGCTGTCACACTGCTTTCCTCTTTTGAGCATCATCTTTGCAGCCCTTTGAATTATCTTCCTAGCCAACCTCCCCTCCCCCCCTTCTTATACAGCGAGTGCCTTCACAAAGAGGTCCCATGTCAGCTAACGGCTGCACTGCCTAACTAGACTTGCCCAAATCAACCCTGCCATGACTGTCTAGTGACTGAAAGAGATACAATATTCTGAACAACACTTGACACAACCTTAATGCTTTAGCAAGCAGAGCAAAAAACCTGCCATAAAGTTTTCATTCCGTGGCAACCTCTTTATTTAGTGTCTAGGAGAGGCTTTCTAGAAATAAATCTTCAGCATGAAGGTCACTAAGTTAGTCCCAGCTGAAGTGCAGAATACAATCCACTTTGTGAGGTAAGCAAGAGAGAGGTGTGTGGTGCTGTTGGAAGAGATACCTAACTCCATATAGTACGTTTAAGTTCCCGTTTACTTTGTAGATAAGGGATTAAATGCTACTTAGAAGACAGAAGCATTTACAGGCCTAGAATTAAATAATCAACTTTATTATTTAATTGCAAAACAGAGGCATTAATTAAAAGCTATCCCCTCAATCCCCACAGATGTCCAGCTCTACTGTTCTGTTGTGAGAAACAGAATCAAGCTGGGGATGGGCTGCAGGGTGCTGTGGGGCAGAGCAAGGCACAGGTCTTTTAGCCAGTTCTGGAACTGTGGGCAAAGCATGTCACTTGTTCAGAGTTCAGAAAAACAGCCTCACTTCAAGTCATTTACATAGCAGTTACAAAATCTTTTACCTTTTTTTTTTTTTAAGGTAAGTATTTCCAAACTTAGAAACTGGAAAACCAAACTATAAAGAAAAATGAAACCAGACTGGACAATTTTGGCATTCAAAGATGATATGATATGAAATATAGACATAATCATTTTAAAATGTGGAAAGCAAAGGGCTCCCACTAAACACAATTGGTTCTGGTTGTAATGTCCATATCTCGTTAAGAGTTTTGCTTACAAAGAAGCTTCAATGTGCAGCAAAGAGAGCTTTTAATTCTTTGGACTCACTAGTTACTTGTTGTTTAAACAGGGAGGAAAAACAATGACATAGACCCATGATGATGAAAAATTTTCATATGTAATTTCTCGAGGTTTCTGATAGTGAATAGAAAAATGTTTGTGGTTTATAGCAAAACAGGAGTACATCATAATTAAAAGCCTAAAAAGACTGAAGAACATTTTGTTGTTTAGTGATAACAAACGGCAAACTAATGAATGGTGCTCTGCATCTAAAAATTGGTTTGTAAGCCCTGCTCAGAACTCGCCTGTAAAGTCTGATGGTAAGGATAGCTAGGAATTGTGCGGCGGCAAAACAAAACTAGAGGGGCTGAAAACGTGTCTGTACTTTCTCTGTCTCGAGGCTCTTGAGGGCTAGGATGGCCCTAGGGCAAAGGAGCACAAGCCCTGAGATAACCTACCTGGCTTGCAGCCCTCCCACAGTGACCCATAGGAGCCGCCTGGGGAGCGCAGGCCCTCCTCAGCCGTGTCCCAGCACAAGTGTCCCTGGTCTGTGGCACAGAGCTGGCCCAGCGCTGCTGAGAGGCCCCTCCAGCCGCCCCCTCCTCACGTTGGAGCTGAGGATTGTTTCACAGCCCATTGCCGATTCGGCGGGGCCATGGGGCACTTGATGAATTCCCTCCTCTGAAGAGGACGTGACTTGCCCAGGGCCACAGAAAGACCGTGCCAGAACTGGGATCAGGACTCTGCTAGTCCCCAGGTGCCAGACACGTGCTTGCCTTAAAACTGAGCACTTCATCAAACTGTAAAATCCAGCCAGATGGCGACTCTTTGCTATTATCTGGACCAGTGCTGGGAGCTTAACGTGTGCAAGGCACAGGGAAGATCTGGATTCCAGTTTCTGTGTCTAAGACTCGGAAGCCCAGAAAATGGATCCATGTTTTAGACCTAAATGCTGCTAGAAACTGGAGCATGTTTTAACCCAAGTTGTGGCTTCGGTCCATCCTTCTCATGAAATGTTTCCATCTCAGCCTGGACCCACTGCTTTCAGTGGGGGAGATCTTTCTTTGGGAAGGGGTAGAGAGGTGCAGGAGCAGCTGGCTGCTTTGTCAACCTTACTCTGCACTGTGTACATGGCCCCGGTCAGACTCTCTTCTTCCAGGTAGCAATGACTTCATGAATCAGCCAGGGGATCAGTTTTGCCTCAGCAATCATTTTAAGAACTCACTGTATGGGCCCAGAAAGCAAATACACCCCCTTTGCCTTCCACACATATAAACATACATCCCAGACCACCAGAACTCTCAGTTAAACTCTCCAAATCCAGGCCAGAGCCAATACAGAGATTTTTTTGCAGTTGGAATTTTTAAAAAGTGGTTTATATGGTTTTATTTCTGTCTTCGAGTCAACACCAAAGGTCTCTGTTGGCTACCCTGTGAATGGACTTGGGCCTTTGTTCCATCTTGCAACAAATCCTTCCAAGCTTGTGAGCAGCCCGTTGCTCTTTGCATCTTGCCGCTGAGGGGGAAAAAAACAATAAACCAAAAAAACCCAAGCAACTACATGTTTCTCCTAATTGCAGTTACCCCCTTGTTTGTGCATTTCCTGAGGCAGGTACTTCTGAGGTGGTTCCAATGGCCACGTATTTTTTCCAATAGCTTCATTGTGCATGTCTTTGTCCCCTCCTCCCAGTCAGTGTATAAACAGCACGTTAGTTCCAAATCAAAAGCAATTCCCTGCTGCTAACTGCAGCGGAGCCTTTGTCTTTTGTTAGCATGGGTTTTGGGGAGCTACTTGACCTATGCATATGCTTCACCATTCTAGACGGTGCATGGTAGTTACTGTCCACTCAGACTTAACAACAAAACATTATAAACAGAAAGAGAACTCAAAAACTAAGAAAAGAAATCAGTGTGCTAAACAGCAAAGTTCAAATTTCTTGCTAAAATTATGTTCTAATAATGGAAATGGTTTTCCCTTGAACTCCAAGTGAATTGAAAAATTAAACTCTGTATTCAG